GGTTTAGGGTTTAGGGAAGCCCTAGATTCCCTAAAACACAAGCTTCGACCCAGGGCACCAGCCTCCTTGTCCACTTGGGCTACCACTGACACCACTTCCACCAGCACGCCTGGGACTAATCTCCCTGGTTCTTCGGAGGGAAATTGGGGAATGGATCCCTATGCGATAGTCGCTTAAGGTCCCGTATAGTATTCCCAGTAAGCCATTCCCCCATCCCCTACGGAGAACCAGTGAGGAATGAGTCAAGTTGGCACATACGAAGCCAACATCTTCGATAAATAAAGGCGAGATATGGGCTAGTCCAGGGTAGTAATAAATAGACCGGAGGCTTGCATTTATGGGCCCAAAGACAACAACCTACTACCTACATAGGTAGCTGAGCTTGTCAGGGTGCTTGACGATAAGCACAAACAGCTAGTTGAGGTAGCTCTGGCAACGTAAACACGGAAATGTGCACTGCAGTTCAGCGCCAGCTTCCGTATCTTAAATTTCAATATCTAGTCTACACCGTAAACCCGAAACTCTAAGCAACACACACGAAACCATGGTAGGGTTGCGTCAGAGTCGGCTGGGGGCGCGGCCGATGAGCATGTTCATGACCTGAGTGAATGGGCTTCGTTCTTCTGTGTTTCTTCTGGCTTCAGAAATGACCCGTATCCCCAAAACCTACGAAATAGTAGGTTATGACCCTTTAATTATAGGGTCTAACCCTGAAAACGGTAGCCCTTGGGGGTAGCGCTGACGGCAAGCACCTCTTCGGAAGCCAAACACACTCAGACTAGAATGTGCATGCACTCTCAAAGCTATAACCCTTAGCACCAAATTAGACCAAAAGCCTCTTGTTGTAGGGTTTTGGGGTCCCAAAGCCTTAAAACTATGAGTCCTTTGAGGGTAAGGATAAGGCCTATACGCAGCGCGTTCTGGGCTAGGTGTCGCGTTTGGGCCTTGGCAAGCTGCGCGACATGCGTTTTCTTACAGACCAGTTCTTCAAACCAGGCCATGTACCACAAAGGAGAATGTATCGAGCACACCATGATCCATGCATCCCGTACACCTGAAATCCTGAAACCCTCAACTTAAGCCGCAAGCCAACCAGAAGCCCTAAACCTACCCGAAATCACAAGTAGTTATGTTGACATGCTCTCCCCTCAAGCCACCCCGCACTTTGCAATCACTGGCATTTTAAGCTGAATTGTAAGTGCTGGTTCTAGGGCTTAGGGCTTCGGAATAGCTTTTTGAGATAATTAGTCCTATTTCTAGGGTTTAGAGTTTAGGTTTAGAATAGTTAGTTTAGGGGTTAGGTTTTACTGCTTAGGGTTTTGGGGTAGATTGCAATTGCATAATATAAACATGAGGGACTGAGGGACCGTCAGGAAAAATGTTGGTCATTATTCAGGCCCCTTTGGGCCGAGTGCCGGGCGTGTTTCTGAGAAAGATCGCGCGAACGCAAGTGCTGTTGCCCAAGCGGAATTGACTCTGCCCAAGCCCCTAAAACCTAAACCCTGAACCCTATATGACCCTATAACCCTTCAGCCGCAACCATAAATCCTGAACCTTAAACCCCGAACCCTATAAATCCGTAAACCCTATAAACTCTAACGACCACAACCATAACAACTTTAAGCCGGGCCCTATACCCTAAAGCGTCATAAATCCTCAATACTGTTCCCCAGTAGCCCTAAATAATAAGGGTACCCTTTTTCGCACTATTCGGTTTTACTAAGGGAGCCCAACGAGAAAAAGGGGCAAAAGGGTAATACTGGGGAACCCTCACCCCTCAACCCTAAACCCCTAAACCCCTAAACCCTAAACCCTATAAACCCTGAACCCTAAACCCTAAACCCCTGAACCCTAAACCCTAAACCCTATAAACCCTGAGCCAGCCAAGGCGCCGTCAAGCCGGTAACCAGGAGGTAGAAGATGCCAAGCAGGTAAGTCATGGGACCAAGCTCTAACATCCTGACACACGGTTTAGGGTTTAGGGTTTAAGAGCAGGTAAGTCATGGGACCAAGCTCTAACATCCTGACACATCCCCAGGCTCAGGGTTTGGGGTTTTAGGGCTTAGGGTTTAGGGTTTTAGGCAGTTTTAGGGTTTAGGGTTAAAGGCTTACGGCGTTTAGGGTTTAGGATGGTTGAGGGCTTAAGGTTTAGGGTTCCAGGTTAAAGGTACACGGGGTTTAGGGGTTTTGGATGGTTTAGGGCTTAAGGTCTAGGGTTTCAGGTTAGAGGTTCACGGGGTTTAGGGGTTTTGGATGGTTTAGGGCTTTGGGTTTAAGGTTTAGGTTAGGGTGTATAGACTTTAAGGTCACTTGAATCCGAGAGCTGTGTATATTATAGTCTAGGGTTCATAGAATTCAGGGTCACCTGAAATCCGAGAGCCCCAGGAAAATTCTGGCTAGACCTCAATTTCGGAATCGCTCAGAACATACAAGCAGCTGCACAGCAATATCAGAAAAGACTCCGCAGCTGTCAGGACCCTTAACCCTAAACCCCATGCTGGTCTTGGTTAGAACCGTTCTTCACTGGCTCTCCGAAGCTTTTGATGAATGAAGCACTCAGCCAGCTGTTCATGAAGCTTCTTGGCTTGAAGTTCTGGCGCCCCAGGCTCGCTACTCGGGTTCCAGGTGGCCAACAGGTATGACAAAGACAGTAATAACCCTTAAACCCCAGACCCTAAATTAGTCAGGATAAGGTCTCTGTTTCGTTCGGGTTGAAACTGATGTCCGATCCCAAGACCCAAGAGATTTCCCTGTCGCCAGGCTGCTTCGCCATCAACTCTTGCTGCTCCGGGAAGACCTTCGCAGGGTGTCTGCGTTTCAGGGCTTTTCTGGGGCCTAAGGCGCTAAGGTAATTCGTCTAGTGTAGAGCCTTCGGAAAAGCAGAAGCCGACAATCTCAGAAGCACCGGAGCTGGGACACCATCTGCTGAAGACACTAAACCATGAAAACTCATAAGACCTCAGAGCGCATAGGATAATTTACATCCGTCCTGCGCGGCCCATACCCCCACAGGGCTCACGGCAAGATACATAACGTTCATACCCTGAGGAGCCAGGACACATAGCACACCCCCCAATTCTGCAAAAACCCATCGCAATGCCTTTTAAATGTCGCTAAGTGCCCTGGTCCTTTACCCTTCCGACAGGACCTCGCTCAAAGATGCGGACCTGCATTGCATCTGGAACCTGATTATATAGCTGCGGCCTTAAACCCCCTGTGCTACCCCAGCCAAGCTTAAGGGCAAGACCGGAAAGAATGAGAGAAGTAAATCCTAACACAGCCAAACCCTTTACCCTCAACCCTCAACCCTAAACCCTAAACCCTAAACCCTCAACCCTAAACCTGACTCTCCGAGTTGAGGCGAGTCACGACATTCAGCATCAAACCTAAGTCGCTGCACTGGCAAGACCGTAGGCAACAGTGACCGGTTCATGGTTCTAGGGTTTAGGGTTTAGGGTTTAGGGTTTAGGGTTTAGGGACACCAGTTATGAACCAAGTGAATCGCTCCTTTTCACAGTGTGTCATTCTTTTTGCTGGCATTTTTGGGACCTATATATTATGTACTTTGAGGTGGTCGGTTGTGAGGCTCCCCCTGTATCTCCAATCGCCTCGGAAGGCAAGCAAAAGCTACGATCGATCCATCGATCAGAAAGCCATTGCCAACAAATCCACCAGTCTCCAGAAGAAGTGCTCAACAGCCGTACGGCGAGACTGTAAGCTCATGTAGCCCGGCCCCTGGGCAGGAACATCCTGCCGAGACCCTCTTTTTAAGGTGCAGGCTTTCGTTGTTGGTGTTCACAGATTCGCGATGCAGGTTTCAAACGTTTATCGCCAGGTAATGGAACGGATATGTACCCTAAACCCTAAACCCCAAAAGCTACTATTCAAGGTCTTACTTCGCATGTTGGTAACCGGATTTCCGACTTGTAGCCCTACACTGGCCGTATACCCTGATCCCAAACCCCTAAGGCCGATAATCCCTAAACTCCAAATCACAAGCCCTAAGCCCAAAACCCTAAACCCAAAGCCCCAAAGACCCGCAAACCTGATCCCTAAACCCTCACCCCTTGAAGCGCTGAGCCCTGAACCCTGAGCCCTAAACCCGCAAGACCTAACCTCCCCTTAAACCTAAAACTGCAAGGCCAAACGCCCCCTAAACCTCGAATTGCAAGCCAAAAAGGCCCCTTAAACCGAAACTTGCAAGCCGAACATCCCCCTAAACCTCAAAATTGCAAGGCAAACACGCCCCCTAAACCTCAAATCGCAAGCCCAACATCCCCCCTAAACCTCAAAATCGCAAGCACAACTCCCCCCTAAACCTTAAATTTCAAGCCGTACATCCCCCCTACACCTCAAAAATTTCAAGCCGTACATCCCCCCTAAACCCTAAACCCGAAATCCCCCCTACACCTCAAAATTGCAAGCCGGAGAGCAGTTCATGGACTGCAGAACCCCGTCGTAGCAACCCTCGGCTTCCGGGCTCCCTCGGAAGAGCCTCGGGCGGGTTTAGGGTTTAGGGTTTAGGGTCTAGGGTCTAGGGTTTAGGGTTTAGGGTTTAGGGTTTAAGGTTTAGGGTTTAGGGTCTAGGGTTTAGGGTTTGGGGACCTTACCGAACTTTACAAAAAAAATATGGAATGGAAATAAGTTTCATAAAGGTAGTCGAACAAGCTTTTTGCAGACTTAATGTGTTTTACATGAGGGGTTGTTAGGGTATAATAATTATGATAGGTTCAAACGGGGCTTGATTAGGGCATACATAGGGCTTGTATACCGTGTATAGAGCCACGGGACCCTTATAGTCTACACCTATTGCTGCTACGCTTTCTAGTTCATGGCTGGGATAGTATAATTGAGGTTAAGTACCCATAGAAACGTCAAATGTTAATCCAACGATGACGCAGTTTTTGCATGTTCTACAGATACTCGTTTCGTTTTGGGGCTGCTGCGCTGGGTCGGTGGTTGGAGGACCGTGGGTAAGGCAATTTTCTGTGACAGTTCAGTACCCCATTGCCTATCAGGCTCCTGACGTCTGTTTCGAGGTGCATGAGTGGGGCTTTCGGACTAAATACTTTCGGACTAAATAAATAATGCGTGTAGTTTGTGTGTGTGAGAGAGAGAGAGAGAGAGAGCGAGAGAGACAGTCAGTGTGTGTGTGTGTGTGCGTTTGCTGTTGGAGGGGAACAGTTTTAGGATTGCAATTGTTGTACAGATTCGGGCGCTACGCTTTCAAGGGACCTGTGCCGTCATGAGGCTCTGTGCGGCTTGAGACTTACAATCTTTATAAACTTCCTGGGGTTCGGGATGTCGGGCGATCTTACGATTGCAGGGCTAGGAGGTCTTGGTATGCATTTAGGCTTTCGAGGTTCAGAGCAAAGCTTTTCGAAGGATCAACCCAGGGGCTGGGTGAAGATGATGGCAAAGATGTAGATGACCACCATCATCAGGAACCTGGACCACACATATAGGGGGTATCATACTGTTTAACTCTAAACCCTATAAACCCTAAGCCCTATTTATTGCAATAAGGTGTAAGTAATTATTTAGGCCCCTGCATTAGGGCATCTCGGACAGGAATCTCGGACAGCTGGGAGGAAACCGACGTCGGTTGCTCTAGAGCTGTACAGAGGAGGTGTGCAAAGAAACGAGGGTTTAGGGTATAGAGAGGGGGCTGGCAACGCTGATTCCCAACTTCGACTATTCGAACCCGAAAGTGGTACAGAGTGAGAGAGAGAGAGAGAGAGAGAGCGAGCGAGCGAGCGAGCGAGCGAGCGAGCGAGCGAGCGAGCGAGCGAGCGAGAGCGAGAGCGA